AGCTGAATGGCCAATAGCAAGGGAGGAGGTATAGGTAGAACTTTTGGGCAGGGAGAGTAAGTAGAAGCAGGAATTTAGGCGCAAAGGAAGAAAGAAAAAGAGATGCCAGGGAGATGCCAGGGGCCAGCCAGATGCAGAGGAAGCAGGAAAGTAGGACATACAGAACGAAATAAAGGTAAAAATCCCTGAGGCAAAACATAGATGAATAGAAACAGGTTAAATTAAGTTAAAAGAGCTAATGGGACAAGCCTAAGCTAAGGCTGAGGATTCATAATTAATAATAAATCTCCATATCTTTATTTGTGAGCTGGTTGGAGGCAAAAAAAAAATGTCAACTGCACTCACAAGTGTGTGGCAGCCAACAGCTGTTCAATTGGATGTAAGGCCCACTCAACCAGCAGGAAATCATACCTAGTACTCTAAACCTGGCCAGCTTCCTTGGCCTAGTGGAACCTTAAAAAAGATTTCCCTACCTCTGCTTTGCTAGATCAGTATAATTCCTTACTAGCTTTTTAATCTTATCTTTATACCCACAGATGAGTGTAGCTACCAACCCTCACCAAAAAAGCCTCTTTTTACAGTAAACAGAAACCATCACAGAAAACCACAACTGGACATAATGCAGAGATCAGCAGATCATGGGTACCCCAGTCCCAATGGATATATCTGCATCACAGCTTCTGCATCTGTGGTTCAGGGGACATCACAGAAAAGGGGGTGAAAGATTTCAAGAGCCATAATCCAGGAAGCCTGCTGTGCAGCTCTGTCTCCTAGGAATGGCTGCAGAGAGAAGACCTGAACAGTATCAATACACATGGAACTCAGAAGAGGGAAGGGATCGAGAGGTCTGTTATGTGAATCCATGAGAATCTGTTAAAGGACCTAAAAATTTATCAAGGTATAAAATGGGGATAATACACTCACTGATACAGAATAAGGAAGATGCCGCTGCTGATCCAGTAGCCAAGTTTTGCCATTCTGCCCAGGGGAGCTAAGGATGAAACAAGCTGCTCCATACTGCCTGACCTGGTCCTCTCCACCCAAGAGAGCACACCTGTCTCTCAGCGTCAGGTGGGCAGACAAAGCCATGCCCTAGGGCTTGTACCCCAAAGCCATTGTCTGAACAGAACGAATTTCCACAACAGGGGTCCCACCCCTAGACAAAGAAGTGCAGGCAACTATGGCTGCTGGGAGACAGAGTTGACCCCTCCCAGAGATGAGTCTTCTTATTGTGTGTCCGGTATGGTCAACCCTGAAACCATATAAGTACACACACACTCAAAGGGACTCAGCAGGTTGTGTGTGTATGTGTGTGTGTGTGTTTGTGCATACACATGCATACATACGTAACAATAATAAACAAAGAATCACAGATTAACAGTTTGAGAGTGGGGGGCTAATGGGAAGAGTTGGCATGTACCTGGGAGGGGCCTAGGGGTAGAAAGGGAGGGAGAAAGTGATATAATTCTATTTAAATTAAAAACACATTTTAAAAAAGTTATCATAAGAACTGCTACCGCTTTGTAGGTAATGGATATGAATTTATGTCTAAGCTCAGGCAACTTAAATATTAAAGATATTCATTCTCAAAAGTTATTTCAAGTAATTGTAGGAAGAATTTAGATTCTGGATGTGTGGTCTTAATTTTAATTGTAAACTTGGCACAATTTAGAATTACCTAGACAAAGAATCCCTGTGCTATTATGTAGGTAGAGCTGTCAGTGGTCACATCTGTGAGAGGTTGCCTTGATGTCTTTAACTGAGGTGGGAAGATCTGCCCATTCTAGGTGGCATCGTTTCCTGGATTTGGACCCTGACCTGTGTAAGCACTGAAAAGTGGCCTGAGCACAGGCATGCATGCACTCATTCTCTCTCTGCCCTGGACTGTGGGTGTAAACTGGACTGTAGGTGTGAACAGCTGCTTCAGGTTTCCAACTCCTTTGACTTCTCCACAATGACGGATCATAACTTGGAACTGTGAGCTAAAATAAATATTTTCTCACTTAAGTTTCTTTTGTTGGGGTATTTTATAATAATAACAGGAAATGAGATGAATACAGGGCATAAATCAGTAGAAAAAAACCACCTGTCACCTCCACAAATATCACTAAAAGTTGGCATTGCATGTTAGTAGAAAATGTGTGAAATGATGATGTATTCTTCCACAGAGTATATATCAGTCCTCTTATAAAATATAATGAGTTGCTGCCTGGGGGAACCAGCCTCCAGCAGTGCAGAGGTTGAAAGGAATCCATGGTGTCAGTATATACTAAGACCTTTCTTCTGTGGGGGTTAGGGGAAAAGACACTCACACTCTCTCTTGATGATTTCCTTCAAATATTTTCTTTATTCCTCTTTTGCATTCTCTAGTCTTTATTTTCCTGGTGATTTCCTTCTCTCATTCTTGATGTTTTCCTTCTAACTCTCTCATTCCTGATGTTTTCCTTCTAACTCTTTCATTCTTGATGTTTTCCTTCTAGTCCATTTTAACTCTCTCTTTAACTCTATCTCTATCCTTTTCCTTATAGCTTATATATCTCAGCAAAATCAGGCAAAATAAAAATTACAATGTTATTAAATTTTTTTCAAACAAATGATTACAATGGATACAAACAAAAACCAGGATGTTTTCCATATCCCTTACATAATTAAACATATTATGTATTACAGGTGAAAAAACAAATTATCCCAAGAACCCACATACATTCATACCCAAGCAATTTGTTATAGATTAACCACATGGGCAAGCAAGATATTTGTCTTAGTCAGGTCTTTTAATGGCAGGCTGTAGTTTTGCAGTTACAAAGAAAAGGCTAATTACTTTATTACTTATCTTGAAAGGTAATCTTATAAGGAATCTTAAAGGAATCACAAAACTAAACTTCTATAATGAAAAAGAATTAGTCAACTCTACTTTAAATCTTTAGGGTGCATACCCACTCATAAATACTTTCTTATATCAGGAGATTAAGGGCAGAAATAGGTATAAGGAATTAATCATCACCTTTGGTCATCAACCAATGCTAGCAAGAAAGGCACATCAGCTAATGATAATTGGCTGCTTTGTATTCTTGATTCTAACCCAATGAATGTATAACTCAGCTATGTGTCCTTGTGAACTTTAGATTGTTTTCTGGGGTTTTTCATCTTAAAACTATTATCAAAGCATCTGATTTAACCTGAAGTTATTTTAAGGCTTTGTTTCAGCTACTGATGTGCACCAAAACCTGTGATTGCATCTTTCAGCATTAAAAGAATTAGAGCCAGCCTGGCTCCTGGGGACTCAGCTGTTTTCTTTAATCACTAACCTGAACTGGGATCTATGCAGTTCCTTAGGTGAAACTCATAGGCCCTAGCTGTGTAACATTTCCTTGTATTTATTTTTATTCATCAAAACTCTGTATACGCTATCATTATTATTATCAAGTAGACAGTACAGCTTAGGGGGGAATCATCTTCATAACAATCCATAGATAAAAATGTCCAGTAGAACGGGATGTTTCCATGAGATAAACACACTACATTACAGGCAGTGGGGATCTCCCCATATCCATTCATACCATGCCAGATGCCAGAGAAAGATAGCAGCAGAACATGTAAAAGCACAGCAGAAGCAAAAGATATTCTGGGGTCTGTGGTCCCTGGGCCTTGCCTGTCCGAGATTGATCCATCAGAGAATTTCCTCCTGGTGGACTGACACCTTGCACTTCAATTGTCACCTGCTGCTCCTCTGGCACAGCTACTGGCAGTTATGTAAATTATACTAAATTGTATAAACACACACATAATCCTAGATAAATATGTGTGTGTATTTAACTAAGCATGATAGGCAACAAAACTACAGAGAAACCTGTCTCAAACTCCCCCCCCCAAAAGTAGGAAGTGGTCTTAGCCACTGAACTATCTAGAGGTCGGGGATTTAGCTCAGTGGTAGAGTGCTTGTCTAGCAAGTACAAGGCTCTGGGTTTGGTCCTCAGCTCCAGAAAAAAAAAGACAAAATAACAAAATAAGATTTGAATATAGATTTCTTTACACATATCTTCTTTTCTCAGTGAATTACTTTTACCCCTGTTAGAAAATACTATATTTGTTAACTTTCAATCAATTATTTTGTTCTTATTCATTCACTCTTCTTACTCTGCCTTGATCCTATGTATTAATCATTTATTCCTGCCATTTAAATCACTTTCAAATGGAATGGCTTTAGTTCATGAACTTAAAAAATGTCTCTGTTTCTTTACTTTGAGAGTGTCATAACTACACATGGATGGTGCTGGCTTAGGCCTCTCAAGGGTTTCAGAAGACACTTTGAGCAGGGATGCTGTCCTCTGAAAGCTTGATTGGATATAAGGGGGCTTCCACAGGGACAGCTGTGGGTCAAGGTGTTTTGTCACTTTTTGCTTTCTGAAATTAGCCAGAGACTTCAGCTTTTGACCCAAGGTTACCCCATAGGACTTCTCATGCAATTTTTGGGGGGAGCAGGATTGCCTTTTATGATCTAGATTTCAATGCCTTATACTGTCTTTTAAACTTGGTTTATTAGAAGTGAATCACCAAGCCTGACCCACACTCAATGAGAAAGAAATTAGCTCAGAGACCCTTACTCTAGAGGACACATGGTAGCCATCTTCTACAACCAGCTAAGGTTGTGGGACATGAGAGAAAGCCAGGATTGTGAAATATATAAACTTCAGTGAAATCTTTATTTTCAAAGAGAAAATAAAAAGATTTATTCAAGAGGGGAGAGATTAAGTCATGCAGTTCTTTAAATATTCTATAATGGGAAGTCATTCATGGATTCCACTTCTTTGTCCTGTGAGAATGGAAATCTAAATAATTTTGTACATGCTAGTAAAACCAAAACCACCTCATCATAACTTAATGTGAGTTGAGGGTTAGGGTTGATACTGGAAGCAGAAGCCAGGACCAGGAAATAAGAAAACATCAGAAATTACTATTTATTTCTATTTTTTAACCTTCATTTTTTATTTTATGTGTAGGGTATTTTGCCTGCATGTATGTGTCTTCAGTGCCTGTGGAGACCACAAGAGAGCATTGGATCTGCTGGAACTGGAGTTACAGACAGTTGTAAGTTGCCGTGTGGGTGCTAGAGATTGAACCCAGGTTCTCTGGAAGAGCAGCAAGTACTCTTAACTGTTAAGCAATCTCTCCCATCCCCAGACATTATTTTCAAAATACAAATACAAATAATTATCTAGTCGACCTAAAATAGTCTGGTTCCAGTATTCAGTCCAAGACAGAAGCAGAACAGAGGCTGAAAGCTACAGGGTGACTTCTGCAGGACCAGTCTGCCTGATTGAAAAGACAGTGTCTGCGTTTAGCTTCCTGCTTCCTTCTGGACAATCTAGCACTCTAGCAAGGGATGCTCAGAGTTTTGTGCTATTACATCACTTAGAGTCTGGTGGAAAGATCCAGAAGCAGTTCTCTAAGAAACTCTAAGTTGTAAAGTGTTTAGGGGGTCCCCAGGCAGTGGGACCATGACCCATCCATGGTGCACAAGCTGGCTTTTTGGAGCCCAGTGCCTATGGTGAGACATTTTGCACATCCTTGGTGCAAGGAGGAGGGGCTTGGACCTGCCTCAACTGAATGTATCAGGCTCTGCGGACTCCCCATGGGGACCTTGCCTTGGAGGAGGTAGGAATGGGAGGTGGGTTGGGGGGGAAGGCTGGGGGAGAGGAGGAAGGAGGAGGGGGGACCTGTGGTTGGTATATAAAATGAATAGGACATTTAATAAAATAAAATAAAAAAAGAAACCCTTAGCTGGTTTGGCTTACAGTCTAGAAATGGGCAGTGACTTTGTGCCTAGCCAACGGCAGGAAGACAGCTTCAGAGCTTCAGAGGACAGGCTAGCTTCCCTCTCTACTCTCAACCCTCTCTGGACTAGTTAGAGAAAGCACTGAACTGAGGTGTGGAGGAGTTTACTTATTGAATACAACCCACTGATCCTGCTTTTGCTCTTTGTGTGATTATGGTTTCAGGGCTAGCCACTTTGTAGTAGATAACCAATAAGGGAGCTTATCCCTGGGGGAAGTTAATTAATTCTCTCCCTCCCTCCATCTCTCTTTCTCTCTCTCCCCCTTCTCAGCAGTCATTCATTGCCAGTACTTGTCTGTCTATGCTGGGACCCTTTGATCCCTTCCCTCTTCTGAGTTCCATGTGTATTGATACTGTTCAGGTCTTGTCTCTGCAGCCATTCCTAGGAGACAGCGCTGCACAGCAGGCTTCCTGGATTCTGGCTCTTGAAATCTTTTCACCTCCTGTTCTGTGATGTTTCCTGAGCCACAGTTACAGGAGCTGTGTTGTAGAAGTGTAGACTGGCCGGGTTTTCTCATGATCTGTTGATCTCGGCATTGTATCCAGTCTTGGATTTCTGTGATGGTCTCCATTTGCTTACAGAGAAGCATCTTTGCTGAAAGGTGATTAAAACATAATACTTAGGTCTTGTGATGCATTAAATAAACCTAGAAATATGTTATTGGAAATCTACTGAAACTGTACAATTCCAGTAATATCCAGTATTTGAAATCAAAGAAACTGCGAACAGTACCATCAATTATGGTTCTGAAGAATGTATAGACCACTAAGGAACATCATAATAAATAATTGAGAGTCTGGAGGTGAAGGGCAGAGAACTTGCCTAGCATGTCCAAGTTCTGGGTTCTATTCTTACCACAACAAAATCAGCTTGCCATGGCTGAAAAACCTTTCAAAAGGAAGGAAAGAAAGAAGTGGATGCTAGACTGTTTAAACCCAATTTCAAGTTTCCCATGCTCTCATCTGGTACAGCCTGCTTCTCTGAGTAGATGAGTCTGGCCTTGACCTCCTGCCTCTACTTCCCTAGAGCTAGAATTACAGATGCCAGACCTTCTACAATCCAGAAAACAGAGGAAAAGAGGATCATTTTTTCAGCCAAAGTTAGTGCTACAGGAAAATTACTATGTGTATCTTTGTTCAGGTCCTGTTTATGCTTTCACTTTGGTTTGAAATATAAAATATTTACTTCATTAGAGTTAGCTCTTAATAATTCATGAAGACTAGAAGATAACCAGTAAACAACTTCTGTCAACAAAAAACAGAGAAATATGTGTTTACAGTTGCACAGAAAATTGTGTGCATCTATTTGGTGCCTGTTTTGAAGTATGGAACCTATTTCCTAATTTTGTTTTCCTTTTCCTTTGTATAGTGTAAGACAGCACTGGAGAGTAGTTGAATCTGGGCTGGAGGGCCGTATGTCTTTGTGGCTCCTGAGATCAGATGTGAACTGGCTTTTTCACTGAAAGTTCTCTCCCTTGGCTCCCATGCCCTCCCCTCCCCTTCCTTCTTCTATTCTTTTGTATAGGAGTTAAAGTTTACCTGTGCAAAAATGTAGTGGAATCAGTACCAGCAAATCCAGGACTTTTATGAAGTATGTTAGACTCAAGATTTTGTAAGGAATTATTTAAGAATTGGTGTCCTGCCCAGTGGAGAATCCAGTGGGGTGGTGGTCCCTACCCTGTGTATGAAAGGCAGATCACATGCTAAGAATTGCTGGAGACAGTTTTCTCAATTTAAAAAGGAGCTCAAGTAAAATGGGCCCATGCATTCCTTCAGTGTAGACAGCACTGTGTAGATTTGGTTTACCTGGGGAATAATTTAATGGCTGCAGAGAAAGCACAAAGGACGGCTAGAATAACCCAAAAAGGGGTTCAGAAGACATTAAGAACTGATGGAATCCGATCTGTGAAGACAAAGCTATGGTCAGGTTAAAGGCCATTGGGAGTTCATTCTTAGAACATAAGGGAAGCTTTGTGTAATGTTTGTTCAACTCCAGTGTCAGCTTGCTGGGACTGAGAAATGCCTCACATTTTTTAATGGATAATTGACTTATTATGCTTTCTAATATCCCTTATCCATCCTAACACCACCACAAATAACCTTCTCACTTGTCTACCTTCCTTTTAAAATTTTCTATTTCTTTTTTCAATATTTGATGCATTTAATTGGCACATTTCCCAATAGTCATTTTCAATTCCTTCTCTTTTGGAAGTTTCCCCCATTTTCTCAAAACTATATCTATTTTAAAGTTAATTCTTTCAGAAACCCTGTGACTCTCCCCATGATTCTTCTCTCATAGTTCTCTGTGACTTAAAGTTCATGGTGCAATGAGTAAAATGTTTATAGACAAAAGCCGCATGTTAAATTTTGATAGTACTGTTAACGATTTTACATTTGGGTAACATTCACTTCCTATTTTCTTTCTTACTATCTATGTATGACTGACATACTGAAGCCAACAATTTTTATAAAGTAAACAAAGTTTCAAATCAAGTCCAATTTATCTTATAAATTATATTTGAATGGAAAATATAGCACTAAAATTTTGATCAGGCGTTGTGGTTTTTCATCCCTTAATTTTCTATTTAATGTTATTCATACAGTTCAGTAAACTTGTTCTGGACATTGCTAGCTTTTTCCAAAAGAGAGTTGAAAACCTGTGGGCAGTGCTCATTAGTTATCATCTTGTTTCAAACCATTGGGTTTGAAGGCTCTTCTCATTTATCTCACAGTGTTGTTCAGATGCAGACAGACAGAGCGCCATCCCAGAGGATGCTGGCAGGAAGGGAAGAGTCAGGCTGTACGGGTCCCAGCCTATTAAAAGGTTTGTCATCAGCAGAGGGAAATGAGAATTGAATGTGGGTGGCATCTGCATACTGGATTTGTGCCCCATAGCACCAGGGAGTAGATTCCATGAAAACCAGGAGAACAGTTTTGCTAAGTGTCTACCAATGGCACCTTTTCTGTCATCAGAGGCACTGTAGCCTTGCCACCTTGCAGGTACCCTCAGTCCTCAGTCCTGTCACTGACAGTGGAGGAACTCACAGAGGAACTGCAGAGTCCTGTCATACTAGTGCCACAGAGTCTGTGAAAAACATCTGTGACTTCTAGGAATTCCAGGGACACTTTGAATCAGTATGAGGTCACATTGTCAGATGGGATGAGAACCACTGACATTAGGTCATTACAACACTTGTACTCACAGGCTAGTCTTGGGTATTCAAGTTGTATGTATTAACTGCAGCCTTCCCAGTACTATGAGAGAACTAAAATAGAAAATGAAAGAGTGAACATACACACATACATGTACACACACACACATGCACATACATATATGAGCACACACATATATAAGTGCGCACACACACCACATCATGTACATACACAGTACACACAAACACACGCACATATATATGAGCCCACATTCACACATGTATACAAGCATGCACACACACACACATCATGCATATACACAGTGCACACATGCACACACACACACACACACACACACACACACACAGACACCACTCAGGTGATGTGTTACACTTTTGAGACTTCTTACCCTACTTCAATACTTTCCTTAGTAGTTATCAATACCATGTATGTAAAATATAGAGATTAGAAAATATAGGCTCCAGTTTTCCCCGGAGTCCATGCTCCTTAGTATGTGTACACCTCTCATCATGTAACTTTTGTTGCCTAGGCGAGTGTAGCATGATGCCTTTCTCCACAAGTGCAGCAGAGTATACATGATGTGTCACTGAGGCTTAATGTACTTTTGACACTGTTTTTACTCTGGATGAAGTACCATCACTGAAGTAGGAGCAGGTGCTAAAATTTACAGCCCTGCTCTCTTCTAAGTGCCATCCTAGGTAATTCTGAGCAGACAATTGCTAGCAGTTGGAGGCAATCGATGTTCCACTGAAAGGCTTTTATAGCAGCAGAGGCCCCAGAGCCTGTGTAGGATTGGGGGCTGGGGAGCGCTGTCTCTGCTTACTGCTGTTACTGCTACTGAACAAGAGTCATGTTCTCATTCTCGACTTTGAGGATAGTTCTCTCTGGGCTTCCTATGAAGAGCCAGTTGGTGTTAATGACATAAAAAGTAATAAACATCTCTGAGAACAGAATGTTGATTCTGAAGTAGCGTTTGCACCTGGCATGATAGTGGAGGCTGGCATTCAATATTTATGATCCAGACACACTGATTATAGATAGCTAAAAGGATCCAAGAAAGACAGTGGTTAAAATGAAGCAGTTCTTATCTGACTACGATGTGCACAGGGAGCCAGGGGAGAGCCTGGCCGGCTGACTTCTAGAAGGTTCTCAGGTTATGCTCCTGCTGGTACAAGGACAGCTGAGTAGCAAAGGGCCAAGGCAGAAGCTTGCATGTAGAACTAGAATTGTATTGAACACACTACAGTTAAATTTTAAGCTGAGAAATGACACAACCAGTTTAACCAGTTTAACCAGTTGTGCAGGTAAAGCATTATGTTCGTGCAATGGAAATAGGAGTCACTTTAACATGTGGCTTTTTTACTGCTGAAGACATGGGATACTGATATTATCTGTCCATGGGCTCAAGGACCTTCCGACTAACTTCCAGCCTTGAGTTTCAGGGTTCCGGTTCTGATGGGCTCCACTGTTTCCCATAGGCCCCAGCTGTGTTCCAGAACGACCATCTGTGTTTGGTTCTGCTTCTTTTACTGTTCCAGCTCCGGCAAGGTGGCTGGAAAGTAAATCCCTCCCTTGCCAGAGTCCCCATGCTAAGCTGACTTCCTGGGAAGGCTCCATTAGGAATTTCCAGGGGTTGCAGACTACTGGATTCAAAAGCTAGGAGGTGCCGCTAAAGGGCCCTGGCCCCATGAGTTTTCCTGTCCTATGGAGGACTTCCAGTCATGTGGTATCACTTGCGCCTCCCAAGCTATATCTCTCTATTCGAGCTGGACTTCCAGCTCGAGAAATGTAGATCCATTGAACTCACTTTTGTTAAGGAAAGATACTGAATGTGGTTCAGCTCTTTTCTTTTCCTTTACCTGTTCTTCAAGTGTGGACTTCGAATTGATAAATCAGCAACAATTGGAACTTGCCAAAATGCTGATCACTGGAGCAGATGCAGACCTGATAAGGAGCCCCGAGGTGCTGCAGGAAATGAGGTACCTAATCTGCAGTTTGAATAATCACTTGGGACCACTCAAGTAGAGGATCAGTATCATCCCGTTTCTGATTCTAAAGACAAGGAGGCTTTTGTAGGTCTGTACTCCCTGCGGAGTGCCTGGGGGAAAAGTTTTGCTTTTTCTTGGGCCTTTTTTATGAGCAATGCTAACTTCCTCTTTCCACAAAAAACAGAAATATTTACAGAAAGTTTGAGTTTAAAATCAAAATAACACGACATAGCAATATCTATGCACAATCACAGCAAATACAGTCTGTGAGGATGACATCGTGCTGGGGTGGAGGAACATGCTTTGTTGACTCAGCTGAACACGTGACTGGGGTAAGGAATTGGCTGCTTATTTTGAAAAGTAATCTCGCACTTCATCAGTGGAATGAATTTTTATGGGGACCGTTAAATTCGAGTGCACGGCCTTGATGAGATTGATTCCTGAACTGATTCGCCTGCTGTTCAGTCAGCTGTGATTCATTCCTAGAGAAACAGCCCACACAGGTTCCAACGCAGCGCCAGGGGAGGAAGCAGTCACGAGGATGTCTCCAGTAGGACCACACTCGAGCAGAGCATCATAGAAAAGGAGGTTTGGCACTTCTGTGGTGCATGGATAGCCAGAAGACATTTACCTCATGAATATATATATATATATGTATTCATATTCATATATGTATATATGTATATGTATATGTATATGTATATGTATATAAAACAATTCCAAAGGATTTTCTTGAATGTTTAGTATGTGCTGAGCTCTGGCTTTAAATATAATAATACATAGGACATTTGACTACAGATGTAAAGGGCTTTTTTAAAAATCTTTTTACTAGCAATTGTGTACGTGATTAACACAGTTTTACAAAATATCTGATTCGTGTTTCCCAAGAATCCTAGGAAATAGATGTCTACCCACCTCTTACGGATGTGGAAATTGAATGATGTTCAGGTCAAACGTGAGTTTGTATAAACCACGGGCTCCACCCCAGTCCTATTCTCAAGCTCCCTCTCGTTGTTTAGGCTTTCTAAAGCTGGGCATCAGAAGACCTCAGAAATAGGCCTCAAAATGTGAAATCTGTCTGATTTCTTGTCTTCCTTTTCCCTGATCCCCTTCCTCGCCTTAAAGCAAGCCATAGAAACTAGAATTTCTTTTCTAGAAAATTACTTGAGGGTGGGGGTTGTAAAATTCCAAGTGTCTTTTCTGCAAACCAAACAGTAAAGCCTAAAATATTATTTCCATTTTTCTTCCATCTTGCTGTGTTAGCACTGACCTTAGAAATTCTCCAACATAGCTTGTCGGATGTAGAGCACTGACAATCCTCCTTCTAAAGGTCCCATGCCTCCTACTCAGGAGAGAGCGGCACTCCTTACCACGTCCAGGAGCCTGTCAACAGGAGGAACGGCTGGAACCCTACCTTCACCTTGTCACTGCGCAGCGCTTTTGTCTCATCACATTTCTAAATGGCGGTCAGTGTTTCACTGAATCCAGACAGAAAAATGAACAGCCACCTTGAACATTTGACCTTTGATCCGATGCTCATATGTCATATAAAACTGTGATCAGGGGCTAGGGGGATGGCCCAGAGAGTAAATCCCGTGGCACAAGCATGAGGGCCAAAGTTCAACTCCTCAGCACCCAGAGTAAGGCCAGGCATGTGTTTCTGTCACTTCAGCAGCTGAGGTGAGACAGGAAGATCAATGGTCCTCACTGGCCTGTCAGCCCCGCCTTCTGAATCAGTGAGCTCTGTGTGCAGTGAAAGACCCTGTCTCAGAGAAATAAAATGGAGAATGACGGAGGCAGACACCCACTGTTGACCTTGGACATGCACACACATGTACATACGCCCACATGAACACACATACAGACATATGCCATACACACAGACATAGAGATTATTATCAAATGCGTTTGTTACATTTATTTCTTGTCAGCCTGTGGCTTGTTGTTAATGTAAGGATGTTAGCTGTGACCTTCTGCAGTGGCCAGGAAATATGCTATAACCCTCATGCCATCCTCTATAACATGTCCAGGCTCTTCACCCATGGTGATGCTTGAAGCATCTTAAAATAAAATTGCTTTTATGTTTGCTAAACAGTTTCATCAATTCATTACAAAATAATAATTTTTTTCCTCCTTGATAACTCTAATCCTTGTTTGTCATCTTTAATTTTTAGTTTCCTGATAGCAAATGATCTCCAGCTGAAACCTCTTCTATTAAAACATTTGCCTGTGAAAGCAATCCAGATGGAGTGACCGAAATGATGAGTGGAAAGCTGGCATTCAAGTGGGCATTCAGTCACCCAGCAGACGGAGAAGCAAAAGCCAGAGGCAGTGACTTACCTTGTACTTTGACATTACTTCTCATTTAAAATTGGAGTTACTCCATAATTAATTTGTAAAGTGAGTCTACAGCTCATTAAGAATACTGTTTTTCATAAAAGGACAGTTTATAAATGATGCAGAATGGACGAAGTGCTCTGTGTGGCACTGGACTTTGCCTGTGATATGGTTCACACTACAGGAGTCATGAACCTCCGGACATCATTCCACTCCTGCAGGTCTTCAGTTCCTGGAGCTGTAGGAATGAAGTCTGTTCCTCTCTTCAAAGGCTGGAATCATGATGTGTTCCCTTTCATGTTAGTTTAGCTGAAAATCACAGGTCAACACAAAGCCTTCTCAGTGAACCTGTCTTGTGAATAATTATTTTCATAATTATATTTTTTTTATTCATTATAAGATGAAATGGAAGCAAAATCAGGTCAAATTTTCAAAGGCAAACTGCCTCTGTACAGTGTATTATGTTACATAATTGTAAGTTCACCACAAGAAGTGGATGCGGGCTGACATTTTCATTGCACTTTTAGCAAATCAGCTTTGGAAGTATGCATTGAATGTTTCAAATCTAAAAGCAGGTTTACAACTTGGCAAATCTCTTGCTGTGTACTGTTCAGACACACCAAGGATGAGGCTTGGAACAAGTTTTCTAAGGAGAAAATAAACAACTGTGAAGACTGGCTGTCCCTTGCTCTTTAGAACTGAAGGAAAATTGTCCAGAAATCACACAAGGTGGCTTTCTTATTACTTACATGGAAACATTTCGAAATGGGGCATCCAGCACATCTAAACAGAATGATGTGTGGCCTACCAATCTGGGGGTGGATCCCTGACAGCTCGTCTAATCAACATTTTTCTGGAAATAGGATTTGCTCTTGTGTGTTTTTAGAGAGGTTATACAGCTGAGAGAATTTCTTGGATGTTTCCAACAATAATCTCATCTCATTCTTTTTTTTAAAATAGAATTTTATTTGGTTATTTTATGAGTCTAGGGGCACAGAGGTCATAGGACAACTTGTGAGAGTCAGTTTTGGCTTTCCAACATGTGTGTCCCAGGGAGAAAACTCAGGCTGTCAGAGTTAGCAGCAAGCACCTTAATACGCTCAACTGTCTTCTAGCCTTCGCCTCAGTGTTCCTGGAGTTTTAAGCAATTCAGAAGTTTCTTGCATCTGTTAAAAGAAAAATAGAAAAGTAAGTTTTGATTTTTATTCTGTGCTTGAAACTTCTTAATCAGAACCACTTGACCAGCCAGGGATTTTGAATAGCTTTTCTTACAAGAACTGTTGAAACTGCATTGTCTCCCTCAGGATGACAGCGAGTCGTAGCTCCTTTCTGTCATCTCCAGTTGATGAGAATTTTTTCAGTTTTCTGTTAAACTTGATAAAACTGCACTGCACTGCAGAGGTAACTTCAGGCAATTCTCTGGGTAAGACAGAGTCATTTCTAGCTGGACACCGAGGGGGAAGAAGAATAGAAAGTCACTCTTTATGAAAAATCAATGCAAAAGCACAAGACATGGGATCTAAATAGAATTTCTGCTCACATTTGAATATATTGCTGCTAACACTGAAGCTGTGTGTGTCATAGAAAGATCACGAATAACAGTTTAGTTTTATTCTGCCTTGATTTAAGGAAAGATCATCTGAAGTTGTAGCTGGAGTTCACTGCTGCTCAATGGAATAAGCATTAAAGCTGTTTCAGGAGTCCTCTAGTGGGACAAAGTGGAGTTATCAAGAGCCAAATACCAAACAGGGTCAGACATGCTTCCACTGGAAATTAACTAAAGCAGATGAAGACAGAGTACAAGAAAGATTCATCCCAAATGGATGGCTCCAGGAAGCCAACTCAAATGAAATGGATTAAGAACTTACATGTATGACCTGAAACTATAAGATGGCTAGAACACAGAGGAGAAAGACTATGACATTCATCTAGAAACTGGCCTTTTAGGTAAGAGCTTGGGGGCATGGGCATGCCAAAACCAAAACATGGTAGACTAGACTGTGTCAAAGTACAAAGCTTCTGTATAGCAGAACAAAACAGTCAACAGAAGCTCCAGAGACGGGTAAGTATTTGCAAACAATGTACCTAGCAAGAGGTGGTTAATACCCAAAACATAAAGAACACAACTTGTTGGCAAAAAAACAAATGGACTATTTTAAATGAGCAAAGACTTTTCCTCGAATAAAATTTAGAAGGCCAACAATCTGCTGAACATCACTAATCACTAGGAATCTACAAATTAAAGCCACAATGAGACTCCTCCCCTCTTCAGTTAGAGAGGACATTATCGAAATAGTTGATGATTGACCATAATGTAACACTTGCAAACTCTGTGGGATTGTAAATTAATATATACATTAGGGAAAATACGATGTAAGTTTCTCAAAAATCTAAAAATAGAACAAACATATGATCCAATTATTCTATTTCTGTTTGTGTATCCAAAGGAAATGAAGTCAATGTGTGCAATCCCAGCATCTCACTTCCATTATAGGACACTGTTCAAAATAGTGTTAATACTGAATCATCAACCCAAGTCCTCATCAGTGGATGAATGATTAAAAATAAGATATATCTCTATCCATATGAAATGAAAGGGAACCTGTCATGTGTGATGGCATAGACGGACATGAAAGATTTTATGCTAAGTGGAAATATACCAGACACAGAAAGATGACTGCTATGTGATCTCACTTACATAGAGAGACTAAACAATGGATGTGTGGGGGTACAATGGTGATTATGGGGTGCTGGAAATGAGGAAGTAGGTGAGAGGGAATGTGAAAATGTACAAAACTTCAGGTGCACAGGTGTAAAATGTTTGAGGTATATAGCACAGAAGGTTAAGATAATAGGGAAGACAATTTCATATGCTTCATAGCAGAAATGACAAGTGATAGGATAGATGCTCATTAGCTTAGTAACCAGTCCACATCAGATACATATACCAGTCTGCACCCCTTAAATATATATAATTGTCTTGACAATAAAAATAAAATTAAAAAGAGAGACTTGGTGGTGAAATTTTTTATACAATATAGTTTGATCATGTTTTCACTTCTCTCAACTTCTTCCAGATCCTCCCCACCTCCCTATCCATCCAACTTCATGTTCTTTTTCTTTCAAAAAAAAAAAAAAAAAAACCCAGAAAGGAAAAGAAAACAAACAAGCCAAAAAAGGTAAGACAAAACATGTCAAAAGAAACAAAAAGTCCTCCCCTAAACAGCAACAAAACATTGACTTTGTTTTATGTTGACCAACTACTCCTGGGCATGGAACCTTTCCTGGAGTACAGTTGATATATCCAGTGAGACGCTATTGTAGAAAATTGATGTTTTTCCCTTGCCAGCAGGTATTAATTACAAATAGTTTCTTGGTAATGGATGAGGCTTTGTGTCCACTTCCCCCTTTCAGTGCTGAGATTTTGTCTGGCTTGAACCTGTGCAGGACCTGTGTGTGCTGCTCCAGTCTCCAATGAGGTCATATGTAAATCACTGCTGCAGTGTCTGGAAGACACTGTTTCCTTGGAATCAACCATCACCAGTGGCCTTATAGTCTTTCTGTCTTTTTTTGCATGTTTTTCTAAGCCTTACATAAGCCAACATACCCTGCCTAGGGAATGATGCTACCCACCGTGGCTAAATCTTCCACTTCAACTAATAATCAAAATAATTCTCTGTAAGCACGCTTACAGGCCAACTTAATCTAGATAATCCCTCATTGAGATTTTGTAGGTGATTCTAGATTGTGCCAGGTTGACAATTTAAACCAAACATCACATGGTTAAACTTTATAGTAGAATCTTTTCATTGTTTTCTTGAGACTTTTTAAAATTTTTTTTTATTTTCGAGACAGGGTTTGTCTGTGTAGTTTTGGTGCCTGTCCTGGATCTCACTCTGTAGACCAGGCTGGCCTTGAACTCACAGAGATTCACCTGGCTCTGCCTCCCGAGTGCTGGGATTAAAGGTGTGCGCCACCATGGCCCAGCTTCTTGAGGCTATTTGTAATGACCCTTGAACATGGAAAAGTATTTAGTCTTATAAGGGAAACAGACATGTGGCCTTAGTCCCAGTGCTTTCTAACTTTGGGCAAGGAATGATGGTTTTGTGAGCCTTGGTGTCTAACCATTTTTTTTCCAACAAGTATATGCAAGCTTTATTGTAAATTTTTTTGCATTGTATGTCTATAAATGAAATTTGTCAAGCGTTTTTACCTTTAATTATACATAATGTCATTTGTTAACAAAAGACTGAGGAAATGTATTTATTGTAAGTGATCTAATTCTCTAACATTATGTGAGTGACAAATAGGTCACAGGGGTTGCAATCAACATTGTGAATAGACAACTTTTCTACAGGTAACAATCATATTCAGTCGTTTAAAAGCTTCGTAATTATTAACACTGTTTCTGTCTCATGTCTGTCCATGTAAGCACATATTAAAAGAAGAAAATCCGATTTAATTTAAAATATAGTAGTGAAAATATAAAAAGCTGTTACATTCACAGCATATTGTGACACCTATGTAAAGGTTTGTTTGTATATGGAACTCTGAAGCAGTAAGTTTTAACTCATGTAATTCTCATAGTGCTGTGGAGCACATCAATACCTATTGAAAATGGGAATTTTATAACAAAACTCAAATCTCATATACATGCAACATGGATTCTCTGAATATCTGAAATCTTTAATGCACCAAAATTTGAAGTATTTAAGTGCAGTCAAACTGGTAAATTTACACTAACATTCTTGTTGTATATCATAGTCACTGTGTGGCTAAACAATCATTTTTAATAAAATTACCTTCAGTTATTTGTGTAAGGTAAACAAGAAATTAATCTTATATGCAGATTAAGTCCTATCCCTAAACATATCTAGTTTATATTTCTATATAGAATTTTTAGCCACTTCTGTCCATAAGCATTTGAGACAAGGTTTACAAAGGCAAAGGTTTACATTTACTATATTGTGCATTTATTCAAAAAGTTTCTTATAATACAGGATAAAAAGATCATTACTTTTTCCTTTATTAAAAATATTTTTTTCATGTAGTATATCCTGATCACCATTCCCCTCCCTCTACTCCTTCCAACTCCCCTCACCTCCCTCCCATACCTAGCCAGCCCCTAGCTGCCTCTCATAGAAAACAAGCAGGTGGATGGGGAGAGAGGGAGATGGCAATGGTTTTATCCTAAGCCTTTATGTGCAGGTTAGTCTACTATGTAGATTTTCAATAAAGAATGAGAAATGTGGGCATTAACTTTATAAATAACTCTTGCTAGGAATCAGTTTACCTTTAATTTGAACCCACAAAATGAGATCATAATTCCTTATTAGGAACATGCACTGAAGTCATTAAGTAAAGATCAGAATACCAATATACTTCAAATTTCTTAAAAGGATATGAAGTAGCCAATGGTCATAACTCTCCTTACAGATGTTTTGATATGATGCATGTTGGGCAATGTTATGTGCCACAGTTGGTACGTATGCTCTGTGTATCTTTAGCAACACAGCTAAATACATTTCATTTTGGTGTTCTCTTTCTGACATGTGATTGACTAGTTCTTTATTCTTTCTATGTCTGTTTCCTCTTCTGGTTCCTTCCATCTGAACTACCTGTACTCTTTTTAAATGTACTCTTAGTTCTTCATAACTGTCACCTTATGAGTCACTGCAGTATATGCCTCAGACATGATGCAAGCAAAGATGATTTACTTTGGGTAGAGAAAGTGAAGCTAAGGGGAAGTTGAATTACGAGCCATCACAAAATGTGGAGACAAGTTCTTACCTAAGTTAGAGCACACATGTCTACTCAGCAGACCTTGCAAAGTTCTTAATTGAGCATGCAGTCTTACAAATCTTAATTCTATTTCTTTTACTGCTTAATTCAGCTGGTGTTTAAATTATATGGAAGAACTGTGGTGAAATTCTATGAAATCAGAGTGAAAACAAGTAGTACATTAACAAACTTCACAATTTATCAACAGTTCACTTTAAGTCAAATTTCACACATCTGTGAATAGAAATGGTTATTTTATTACTGTCTACTAAATGTATGCCTTACAGGTCAATGTGAGGCATAGATTCTGACTGAAGGAGTTTTAACCTCGATTAGAATGTAATGGAGGGGCATAACTGGGGCACAGACGGATCTTTTGATAAAAGGGTATAATCACTCCACAGGCTCAGAATGTTTAAATATACGATAATTTCAAAGTAATTTTCCAAAAATACTTTTCTTCACTTTTTATGTTTTTCTTTTGGTGACTTTAGCATTGGAGTGGCAGCGATAACTCTGCTTGCTCTGACAACAGTGAGCTCCAGGAAGCTTCTCAGAGCTTCTCTGTGTAGCCATGATGTTCCATCTGTGATCTGTGGACCTCCTTCGGGTGCGTCAAGGTTGTTGAAGATTGTTGTCGAATCATTATATGTAGAATCATGTGGGCTGCACATAAGCAAACTCTTCTATATGTGTATCTGTTACTCTTATTAAAAGATCGCTATCCCTCCAACATAAGGATCTCTTTCATTGAAACATATGAGAATATACAAACCTTGTTTGTGAGGCCAAATTCCTTTAGTACAAGGGCTAGATTTCTATGTGATATAGAGGTCAAAGAGAATGATCTGTAAATACTAATTTAAACATCAGATATAATGGAAGAGACAACTACATTTGAGGTTCCATTTAATTCAAGCTTGGCATGAGGGACTCTAATTTGCTCACTGATTTCTCAGAGTTTTGCATAATAACCAATAAAGGACAGAGTGAGGAGGAAACATGGGTTTCAGGGAGCAGGATCACAGGTAAGTCAGGCAAATGAGGACCACCTGAGCAGCTATAACACACACTGATAAACAGCTGCTCTTCAAGAAGGGAGGGAGGCTGTTTGCTTCCTCAGCCTCAGAGTTTAGTGCTGGTCTGTGGGATATATTGATCCATTCCCAGGGCTTGGGTTTTGTAAGTTCTCTGAAAATAATCACAATGTCAAAGTTTGAAGAACCCTAATAAAACTTATAATTTTGTATATGTGTGTGTAAGATTGAATCCAGACTCTCACACTTGAGCAACAAGCACTTTTCTTACTGAGATATATTCCTAGACTCAAATTTACAGTTTTTAATTTAAAATATGGCAAACAAGAATGGTGGTCTCTCTCTCTCTCTCTCTCTCTCTCTCTCTCTCTCTCTCTGTGTGTGTGTGTGTGTGTGTGTGTGTGTGTGCGCGTGTGAGTGTGCATGTTTAAAGCTGCTCTACAGTCACAACACTTAAAAGAAGTGGAAACTTTGCGAAAAATGCTTTATTAGACAATGCCATTAAGTATAACTAGTATAGTTACACAAACCCGGCTGGAAGAACAGGGTATACATGCAGACATTATATAATATTCCATTGTATCTATGCTAACTGACTGACTGACAACCCAAGATTACATAAAGTTCAAGAGAAAAATTATGCAATGCAGACACTGGGTAGGCTGGGGTGTGGCTTGTTGGTAGAATGATTGATTAGCGTGCTGCGGGACCCAGATTTGATTCTGGACCCAGATTTGATTCTGGGGATGTAGAGGAGCATGAGTAGAATCAAACATAAGATATATGAGGCTGCTGTCCAAACAACACAACCTACTATTTTACAGTAAATGGTGTTATTAATAAATAGTTCATTCTAAAATAACGATAAACAAGCATGATTCAGTAAATACAAAAACCAATAGCACAGCTATCGTTGTTATCATTTGCTACTACTATCAAGTTATATGTACTGTGAATACTTGTATGTGCTACTTTCTTGTGCCTGGTCGCACATGAGGATGGCTGAAACCATATGAATGATGCTTTGTGCTGTAGAATGAGGAATACCATGATGCTCTCAGAAATGTTTATCTCCCTTGTTCTTTTATACGACCTTCACTGTCATGTGAACAGTCTGCTGTGGCATTGTGCTGCCGTACATGGTGCTTGTTTTCTGTGGTGAAATTATGTTAAGTTTTTTCCCACTTTCACTTTCTAGCATTGTTATGACTGTTATGAGTGGAGTTATTTCATTCTTATAATACCCCGTTCTGTATTATCACAGGTGAGTGAACTTACATGCCCATGGTTGTGCTGGCTCGTTTTATGTCAGCTTGACACAAGCTAGAATAAATGGAGAAGAGGGAGCCTCAATTGAGAAAATGCCTCCACAAGATCAGTCATCTTAATCAATGATTGCTGGAAAAGGGCCCAGACCACTGTGGTTGGTACCATCCCCTGTGCTGTTGAATCTGTGTTCTATAAGAAGACAGGCTGAGCAAGCCATGAGGAGCAAGCCAGTAAGCAGCATCCTCCATGGCCTCCACATCAGCTACTGCCTCAAGGATTCTGCCCTGTTTGTGTTCCTGCCTGACTGCCTTGCATGATGAACAGTGATGTGGAGTATAAGCTAAATATACCTTTTCCTCCCCAACTTGCTTTGGTCATGGTGCTTCATCATACAGTAATAATGCTAAGTAAGACAATGGGCAAGGTTGGAGCCTCTCTACTGATCTTGTTGCTATGCCTACAGCTCAAATCATCTCCAGTGTTAATGCTGTTCAATGTGGATATCTGTCTATTTGTCATTTATTATTTATTTAGAGGTCTCTGATATTGCCTGTTAACTGAAGCTCCAGGCTCTGACCACCTTTCAACTATATTTTTGAAAATGAATGTAGAGGCAACATCATAGACATGAGCTCAAAAAAAAATTAAAGGGTAAAGATGGAGTTTTCCACTAACTTTGTAATTACTGTAAAATTATAAATCTTATGATAGATATTTAACTTATGATTTGGAAGATGAGGAATATTCCTAGTCTCTTCTATGTCCAATAGTGAACAGAATTTGCAGGGAAGAATGTGTCCCACTCTCCTCGGATTCCCACTGGATCACTTTGTGTTGCCTTCACAGCACATATCCTTTGAATTAGCATTTAATTTGTTTCTAATATGTACATAGTTCCACAATTCATTAACTTCTGTGGGCTCATGTTACCAAATGGTTGATTTGTCCAATAGTGAACAGAATTTGCAGAGAAGAATGTGTCCCACTCTCCTCGGATTCCCACTGGATCACTTTGTGTTGCCTTCACAGCACATATCCCTTGAATTAGCATTTAATTTGTTTCTAATATGTACATAGTCCTACAATTCATTAATTTCTGTGGGCTCATGTTACCAAATGGTTGATTATGTATCCCTATGGAATTAGCTCTCTTCAGGGAACAGCAGACTGCCTCCTTTCTGTGGGTGATTCCCTTTCATTATGAAGCAAGTAACTTTAAGATCTGAAATTCATATCCAGTTTTATTAGCCTTGCAAAATAGTGTTAATAATAGTTTAAATGACTATTAAAAGGTAAGTGCAGACCTCAGATCTTTAGGGATTTTATTTAGTCTGCATAGTAAATTATAAAGGATATACCATTGTCTTCCCTACCTCACAAATAAGGAACCTTTTTATTAAATTTCTAGTGCCACCATTGAAGTACACATGAGGTAGCTTAGAGAGCAGAATGCTGTTGCTCACCCAGTGCAGGCACTTGAAGTCCAAGTTACGTTCTTTTCTGATGGTTCTTGCTGAGGGATGAAGAACCTGTTCCCAGTCTGTCCCTTGTATCTTTCTGTGCCTGTCATGTCCAAGATTCTATTATAATGATCTACGTCCTTGCTTTTTTAATTCAGTTACCTCTTTGAACACTCTAAGTACAGATATGGTTACATTTTGAAGTGCTGGGAGTTGGTACTTCCATGAGAGAACTTTTAAGGAGACAAAATTCAGTCTACAGCAGTCCCTAAAGTGTAAAGAGGTTTATTCTTCTTAAAAACATACAACCAGGATCAGACCAAAATCTATACTTGTGACTTTTCTTCCATGATGTTTGGTGTGATTAATAGGACTGAATGTGCCTCTTCAAAGGAGGCTAAAAAGCTGGAATTGGTGTGGTTTAGTATGCCAAGGACAGGGGCTATGACAAATGAAGCAACATGGCTGGCAGTCAGGATCAGCGAGGCCTGAGAAGCACATGAGGAGCTGGGTGAGTTATGAGGTCCGGTTAGGAGGTGAAACAATGGAAGGTGTAGTGTGTATGTATTTTTGTGGGAAATACAAACACTCTTTACACTTTCAAGCAATTATTCTGGATCTCTATGGAAAGTGGGCCTTGTATTGGGAGTGGGTGGGAGGGGTGTGTTGTCAGTGACTGTCCTCTGAGCCAAGCAACCATCATCTCGGGGGAAAAAACATCCCAGTTAGGTGTATTGACTGATGGCATCCCCTCATAGAAGGACAGGGAGAGTCACTAAGACTCTCCTTATCTAAACATCCAGTTGCCTTCTACCACATGTTATCTGTAACCCTGTCTTAATTGCATGTGGCCTCAGGTAGGGAATAGAGTACTATATATGCTAGGGAAGATGAGGGGTTGGCTTGGAGGCTCCATATAAGCATCTGCAGGAAAATCCTCATCCATGCTGGATCAAGGCTTTCCAGGTGCAGCCTGTTGTGGGGAGAAGTGCGCACACCTGTGTAGGAACGCTTCACCTATGCTTTGTAGGGGAGTCAATAAACTCATTTGTTCTCCAGAGTGAACTCTGCATGGAATATGGCCTCTGTTTGTTATTGGGACCACAAGAGGAGGGTTCATTGCTTAGGACTCCCCCTGAGAAGGAAGCTTAGCAACAAGGTGATAGCAGGAGCCTAGTTAGTATCATTCATTCACATAATCAGTAAGAATGTGGCATGACAGTCACTTTTCCTTCTTCCCAGTGTCATTTTATGAGGTTTGATTTCTTGTGGTCAATCGTGATTCAAAGACACCAAACAGAAAATTCTAAAAGAACTCGTGATGTTATGCTATATCTAAATAGCATGATAAAATGCCATCCTGTCCCTCCTCACCAAGGTTGTGAATGAATTTCCCTTTTGTAGAGTATCCTCTGTATATACCACACCATCCACTAGATACTCTGTGGCCATTATGATCATCAGACTGTCAGAGCACCAGTCCTTGGTGTCAGGGCCATGGACTCCTTTTTTGTGACATAGAATCATGTCTGCAATTGAGAGAAAATCAAGTGAATCATCAAAGTGAAAGGCGTTGAGGATATCCTGCCTCTGAACTTATGGAGTGTGCTTAGGAACAAGCTAACTCCTGAGTTTGGAAAGAGGGTAGAGACATGAAGCCTGGTGTTTGCTGCCAGCTAACAGAGCCAATGCAGTCATTACATTCATTCCAAAAGGTCACACATCAAGGTAGAGAGAAGCACTTAATGCTGGCATTTTCCATGTCCTATTACGGTGCCTTCGTCATGGAGGCAACCTTCCTGTCAGGAAGCTAGGAACGAGAGACAAGGCCTCTGCTGACTGAGTGTAGTGCCAACTCTGCTGCAGCTCAACCAGAGTACCCTGCCTGTCTACTAAGTGAAAATTGCCTGTGATTTTTAGGCAGCCCCAGCTGCCTCTGTAGCTCAATTCTTTTAAGCCTGAACACCAATTTCCACAGCACAAGAGCCAGGAAATGTTGGCTCCCTAAACTGTGAGAGCCAAGGAGTAAGAACTCTGACAAACTTGGCTTGTAGTGGCTCACTTGGATTTAGGCTTTCCTGAGCAAGATTCCTACAGATGGCCTGAGTATATATTTTGTTTCTTCATACAATAACATTCTAGAACACTGCTTCCCTTCAGCTCTCTCCTAAGCAAGCAGTAGTCACTGGCAGTGGAGTGGATCAATGTATATACACTTTTGTAAGCTGTTCTCTTACTGGTGGAGTTTTTAAAATACTCCCCAAACAGTAACATATGTGCTGTTTTTGACATGGGTGTTAACCTGAGCCTTTAAGGTACTGTCACAAAAATGTCTCTGGGTTTCTGGATATGTCATAGAAAAAGTTTTTAAGTTTTTTTTTTTTTTTTTTTTGGTTTTTCGAGACAGGGTTTCTCTGTGTAGCTTTGCGCCTTTCCTGGAACTCGCTTTGGAGACCAGGCTGGCCTCGAACTCACAGAGATCCGCCTGGCTCTGCCTCCCGAGTGCTGGGATTAAAGGCGTGCGCCACCACCGCCCGGCAAGTTTTTAAGTTTTACATGTTACTTACCTTCTTCTTTTTTGTGTTAAACACAAATCAAAATGAAATGAAAGACTTTGGCTGTTTTAGAAATAAATTTACCTATTTGTGAGGAATTAGTATCACACTTACAGTCTTAGATTATGAAAAGGGAAGAAAATAACCCCACAAGCAATGTATTATACTCAAGGCCAATATTTCTCTTTCAAAATAAGAGCATAATCAATTTCAAAAATTGCTTTGAGAGAGGATTGTTCACAGTGGGGAGACCTTCAATTGCATTATATGTTACCCAAATCAATTCTTTTTTTTTTCCTGTTTACTGAATAACTTTTGTAAGTTTGTTATTCATAAAACACATTTCATTTAAAAAAAACAGTTGAGCTGCTTTAGAATTCATGTACTTTGATATTTTCAGGTAAACTGAAACAAATCTAGATATTCGTTATAAGTAGAGTACTCAGTCCATGTGAGAAGCAAGAGGCTTGGAGTATTCCTGAAGGCTTGACAGTGGAGGAAAAAAGCCTTCAGAAGAAGGGGATGCAGTTTATAGAGTTCTGTTTTGGATGTGAGACACGAGAAAAGGAGTGAAGATATATGCACCAAATATTGACTATGTGGTGTGGATTTAGCTCGAAGGATGCAGGAGATGGCTTAACAGGAAATGTCATAATGACTCCTTGAAGTGATTCCAGATAGGTGCTGCATTTTCCTTCTTTCCTTGATAGGCTTCAGGTATTGTAAGAGTCAGCCTGTGATCTCAGCATCCATCCATATTGCCAGGTGTCATAATTGGAAGCATGCTAATGAGAGCTGAAGGCAGCCCTGCTTGCAGATGTTTTCTAGTTAAGGTGAATCATTGGCTCAGACCAGATTCCAGGGCTATCCGGAATGTGGCCCAGAGCAAGTATTCCATGTTCCATGACAGCTTTTCACGCAGTGTCTTTACCAGATTATGAGACCTTTGCTATGAGTTCAAGATGAAATGTGGTTTCAGGGAGGAGGCTTCAGGCATCCACTCACATCCAAATGCCAAGTTTACACACAGAGACCCAAACCCAGGAGACATTAATCACCAGTCATGGCAACCTTTCATCTGAGTCCAGATTGCAACTTCCAGATCCTTCTTAGCAGGGAACTCTAGGCAGCCACTACCAATTGTGTAAAAGCAAGCAGGCGTTTCAGAGACTTGTGCTGTCCCTGACAGTGTCTGTACATGCTTCCCAAGCTCCCAGTGGAATCCTTGTTGGTGAGGGGTCACGCTGACAGGTGGGCACAGAGTATTTCTGCGGAGTCATGCTTAGCAAGAGAGCAATAACAACCGTGAAAGATTAAGCTGAAGTCTTCCAGCTTGCAAGTCTGATTTGGGTCTTAAGAGTAAGTTTTTGTGAAATGCCAGGAAGCTCCATTCTTGTGAGGTATTTTAATTACACAATTAAATATAGACAGAGATGCTATGCTGAGTAATATCAACAGGAATGAGAGCAATAATAATATCACTTTTATTTACCAAATACCTACTTTGTAGTGGGCATGATGGACATTTTTATATTTATTATCTCTGATTCACTCACCTATCCTGCAAAGTAAGCTCCCAGAAGATGAGAAACTGAAACAAAGGCCAGTGGATGGAAGCAAGCAAGTTCATTTTTGAATGATCAAAGTTCCTGCTTTCTCCAATTCTCATATTTGCAAATAACACAAGGGAGTGTCTCAGGCAGCCACAAAGCCACAGAACGGTATGATCATTTGAATCATGGTTCCGAGCTGAGAGTAAACCAATCATTTTAAAGTTGCAGGGCATTACCATTCCTGTAAGATCCAGGGGTTTGCAGCATGTTAACCTTCCCATTGGAGAAATTTGACTTCCATTAAGATCAAAATGTGTCAGTTTTCTTAAATCTAATAAGACTACCAGGTAGATATGAAGTGCCAGGGCTAAAGGGGGGGACTTTATTCCTGAGCTGCCAGTGTGGCAATCAGGTGAAGGTCGATACAAAGGGCTGACTCTTTATCTTTCCCAGAACTGAAAAAGGAGCCAACAAGTCGACTCCAT